TATATTCATATAATATATATATTAATACAGAAGACAAATACTTTAACAAATTTGTTTAGAAAATATTTTACATAAAAACACACAAAGTATTTACTAGCATTCTTCATCTTTACAACCAGTCTTCAGCTAAGATTTGGCTGAAGTCCATTTTCTACAAAACATTCCAAGACTGAATATGATAGAATGTAGTACAGTAAGTCCTCACTTAACATTGTTGCTATGTTCTGCAACTTTAAATGACATATAATGAAACCAGTTTTACCACAGGCTAATTGATATAAACAACACAAGTTTCTATAGCATCTCCTCAACCTTATAATGAAAACAATGTTATTCGAGGACCTGCTGTATTTTACATACTTTAGCTTATTATTGTAATTTAAAGTTCCCCTTTCTTTGAAGGCTTCTGCATATATCATACTCATAACGCAACAGAAGACTTTTCTTTAACTCATGACGTATAAATAAAATTTGTCTTTTTTGGTGTAATTTATCCCCAACCCAAAACCAAATAGTCATGATGAAATCATATAACTGACATGTAAGGGCTTTTTCAAACAAGAGAAGCATTTAATACCTATTGTTATAATACACTTCATTGTTTTATGTCCAATAACAACCACCTGGAGTGCTGTTACTTCTAGTATTAGTTGGCATCAAAATATAAAGTAAAAATATGTACATTTTTTATATATCAATTCTTACCTGAATAATCTCAGATTTCTTGAGTGTTCCATAAAGTGGAATTTCTTCCTAAAGTTACAGTGAATGTGGTACAACGTGTACAACTTGGTTAACCAATCTTTGCTTTTTCATTTCCAAGACTTTTCCTCATCTTGAATCAAATGCACAATCTTGACTACCACATAATGCACAGGCTTACAGTTAGCATATAAAGTCCAACTCACGCTTATTTTGGTTTATTTTACATGCTTTATTAAAACAGTACTGGTATTTACATATCTGCAGAGTCCCTCCCAAGGCGCTCTCACACATTAAGACACACCCATACGACATCCATACTTAAGCCCCATGCACCCACACTAGTGAGCTATGAGGGTCAGAGTCCTAAAATTAAGGAGCTGTTGGGGGATAGAGTTGTTGATTTGGTTTTCAATTTTTTTGAAAAAAGCATGGGGGAATGCATTTGGCCATTAAAATGCTAATTAAGTTTGTGTATATTAACATATATGGCAGTAACACTGAATATTCCTTTTACATTCTATATACACAGAATGACATCAAGGTTTTGCAGTCAACAGAAGATTCCAACTTCGGTCTCAATGCTGCTTGTAGTGACTTCTGAATTCACATAGGGGCTTTCCCTAAAAATAATTCAAGTCTATGTAAGTGAAATAAGGCACAAGTAATATTGATTTGATCTAGGTAAAGGGAAGGGATGAAAACTAGTTTCAAATGATCTTACTGTTGGGGTTACTTTAACTTAAAATCCACCTGAAATCCTGTCTCCTAATATGCAAAGATTTCCTACTAATAAAGGTGTTTTGTTTTTTCCCCTTTTCCCTGACAAAACCCAAAAGTAAAAGTTTGGGAATTCACATTTGCATGTTTCAGTAACCTAAACCAGCGGCGGCCAACCGGTGGTCCGTGAGGTCCAAAAGGTTGGCGACCGCTGATTTAAGGAAATCTTTGGAGCAGCAGTCGCCAACCAGTGGTCCATGAGGTCCGAAAGATTGGCGACCGCTGGCCTAAACTACTCAAATTGATATGCACCCAGCCTTCTCCTGCCCAGGTTTCCTCCCTCCCTCAATACCAAAACAAAAGCACAGCACAGCAAATAGGAATCCCTTGTTGTTTTTGAGATTTGTATACTTAAGTAGCAAATACATATCTGGTTGTCTTTGATTTTTTTAAAAAATAAGAACAGCAACCTTGTAACTTTCTTGCTCTATAAAAAAATAATTCCTATCTCCTTTTCAGGATGATGAAGCCCCAACTGACATTACAAACAACTGTAACAAATGAGTTTGGCAGCATAAATAATGTCTAGTTTTCAAAACTTCATAGTGAGATTCATTTAGCTTGTACACAATCTGTTGAATGTTTTTTTGCAGCATGTGAACCAAACCCAAAGACGCTGGACATTCTGTGAAAGGGAGTAAGAATCGCAGTTCTGAAGGCCCCTGACTTTAGTTGTTTACAAAGTTCAATCCTGTTTATTGTGATCCTTGGTATCTTCTTCATCTGTATATTCTGAAGGTTCTTCTCCTGGTTTTAGCAGTCTGCCTACATAATCATATTTTTCTGAAAGACATCAAAAGAAAATCAGTAGCAATAAAATGTTTCACTATTCCATTGTACAGCACGGAAGGCACTTGCCTGTTCTGGAATGATATGGAATAAGCTAAATTTTTCCTACTGCTCACCTTGGCTGGTCTTTGTACTCACATAAGGCTTGAATAAAAGAAAACAGGATTAGGGAACTTATAAAGCTTGGGAATTGTGCTTTGCAGGAGAGTGCTCCATACTACCACTTCGTAATCAAGGACACTGTATCAGAATCACTTAGAGTAGCGGTTCTCAGCCTGTGGGTCGCGACCCCTTTGGCAGTCGAACAACCCTTTCAGAGGGGTCACCTAAGACCATCCTGCATATCAGATATTTACATTACAATTCATAACAGTAGCAACATTACAGTTATGAAGTAGCAACGAAAATAATTTTATGGTTTGGGTCACAACATGAGGAACTGTATTTAAAGGGCCAGAAGGTTGAGAACCACTAACTTAGAGTTTAAAAAAAATATATATGTATGTCCAGAACCCATCTTGGAGCTACTTATCCCAGGCTCTTGGGGTAGGCCTGGAGAGAGACATGTAGTCTTAAACTGGTCTAACTCTATTGTGCACTGTGGCTCTCAGAATAGTTCTTTAAATTTTAATAGCCCAAAATATAAAGAAACAAGTTGGCAACATAGGGAATTTCCAAGTTATTTAAAATCTATAAATATATTAGGGTTTATATAGAACTGAGATGAAATAAAAATGTACTATTCTTTTTTCTATCAAATTCTCCTTTTAGATCTGTTACATTGCTTGTGTTTTTGTGTGTGTTTTTTTAAATCCTCACCCGAGGATATTTTTCCATTGATTTTAGAGAGAGTGGGAGAGAGGGAAAGACAGAGAGAAACACTGATGTGAGGGAAACACATCCACTGGTTGCCTCCTGCACTTGCCCCAACCAGGGCCAGTAGGAGCCTGCAACCGATGTACATGACCTTGACTAGAATTGAACCCGGGACCCTTCGGTCCACAAGTCGATGCTCTATCCACTGAGCCAAAATAGCTAGGGCTACATTACTTGTTTTTATGTCACCAGGTGTTTCATGTAGAACATTGCTATGTCCAAGTTGATACACGGTCAGTAATTTCTTGGTTGGGAATTTGAACCTATGTTAATTGAATTAACTCACTAACCAAGAGGATAAGATAGGACTGCTTTATGCAGCAGAACTAGTACAAGTGCCAAGAAGCTAGAAGAACTGTTCCAAAGGATCCAAAGGTCACATAGGTCCAAAGTGTCACATAGGTGGTAATAACTGATGTCGTGAGGGTATAATAAAGAGAAATGACATTTTCCCTATATAGTTTGATGGTAAGATTTAAAAAAATCATTTAGAATAAATTATAATTATTCTATAACATTAATGATCAGTTCAGTTTTAAATATATGCCTATATATTTTTTAAAACTATGCCTTAATAAACAAGCCTTATACCACTCAAGGTACTACAATTTTTGTTAGACTTACAGTTTGCAACAAGTCAATTTTTAAATATGGATTTTATAAATCACATGTAACAATCATATTGCTCTATGAAATAATGATAGTGATGATAACATATGGGATCCTTGGGCTCTTAGAGAATGTGAAATAGCATTCACTTTCTTTGGCCAAAGACTGAGTAATTCCAAAGAACCCCCCAAAATAAAGGTACCTTTAAACTGCATTTCCCATTCTCGGACACTTTCCATTTGTACAGCATTCAAATCTGACAGATCATCATATTCATCTTTAAGTGCATCTTTATCTAGGCAAAATGTCGCCAGTCCTCTGGAGGCATCCCTACCAGCAAATATTCCATATGGACCCGCTGCGGGGGGAAAAAGAAATTATATTTAGATAGCCTAACAAAGTGTCTGAAAGGAAAAAGTCAAAAGAAACTTCATAATGACTCATTTGGTAACAGCCTTAATTTCAAAACATGCACAGATACTAGATAGGATGAGAAGAAATTTCTTAGAATCTGCCTATGACCAAAGTAAAGCCTTTCACTGAAAATTTAAACCTTAAATTTCAATTATTTCATATACCCAAAACTTGTATTCAATGATGAAAATAGTGTTGTGCTAGGGGGAGAATAGATTATTTCAGCAATTAGGTTTGGAAGCTAGTTGGCTTCCAAATGATGCTTTACTGATTGCTATTAATTAATTGTGGCATCTAAAATTAATTGTACTGTGGCATAGTACAAATTTGATAAGTACTATGTAGAGACTCAGTGACTGTGGATCTAAAACATTGTTTTTCTCCTACCCAATGTAGGTTGAAACTCTATGAGGGCGGAGACTGAATCATCTTTGTATCCTCACTGACTACTTCAGTGCCCAGCCCATGTGTGATGTTCAACAACTCTTTGCAAGTTATTAAAGAAAATAATGGTTTTCATTTACCATGACTTTTGGAAACAGTGATTTTATAAAGAACAATTCTTCTCATTGACACAAAATTATTAGCATTTTGTCCAAGGAGTTAGAAACCACCCTCTCTGAGGAGGAATGGTGTGATTTATATGCTGACGGAGTGAGCCATTCCCAAAGTTTGTCCTTGAGAGCAAAAACTATCTTACTCATCCCTGTATCCTCAATGCCTAGCATAGTGCCTGACATGAAGTAGGAACATGATACCTTTCTTCCAAATGAATTAGTTGCAATTCCAAATAAGGAGAAACTAGCTTTTGACCCTTTACAACACAGATTCACTTATGGTAAGCAAAATCTACACCTAAGTATAGATTAAAAAAAAAAAGGAGAAACTTCAGTTATTTAAAACACATACTAATAAAATTGAAACAACATAATTTTCTATATCAAGAAATTGGTTAAATAAATATTAGTATGTTAATTGAATGCAGTAATATACAGCTACCAAAGAGAATGAGGTAACTATATGTATAGACATAGAAGTCTATGATACATTAACTGAAAAACGACATTCAGAAGAACCTACAGACATATGTAAATATCTACATATAGAAAGAGGAAATATGCAAATTAGGCCAGGACGCCATAGTGGATCACAACCAGACAAGAGGAGGTTGTGCACACAGGTGAGGCCCAGAGCGGAGCCAGAGACGGGGGCGGGGCTGGTGAGTCACCGTGCCCCGGCTCAGGCCGGCCCCCTGGAGCCGGAGTGGACAGGGACAGGGGGCTGGCCTGCAGCAGTGGACAGGGACAGGGGGCTGGCTGGCAGCCTCTGCATCCGAGTGTAGGCCCAGAGAGGAAACGGTGGGCCCACCTCCCGTGGGCGCCTGTGGCTTGTTTCCGCTGGGGTTCCTGCCGGCTACAGCGGAAGTGTTGGGTGGCCTACTGCACTCGATATCACACGATGGGCTACTAGTATATATACAAGAGGCCCGATGTACAAAATTTGTGCAAGGGGTTCAGCCCTCGCCCCTGTGGCTGCCTTGGCCGGACCTCGCAGCCCCAGCTGCCTTGGCCTTCGCAGTCCTGGCCTCGTCTGGAAGGTCATCCGGACGGTCCTCCAGAAAGTTGCTCAGCTGTTCGGTCTAATTAGCATATCAGCTCTTTATTACATAGTAGAGGCCCGATGCATGAAATCATACATGGGTAGGGTCCTTAGGCCTGGCCAGCGATCAGGGCCAATCTGTAGGGCGATTGGGGGGCGGGGGAGCCCCTGGCACCTGCCTTGGCCAGCCTGGCGCCATCTGCTTGCTGACCCCGCCCCCTCCCCTGCGGGCAACCAGCAGGGCACTTGGGGGGGCCCCCGCTGGCACCCACCTTGGCTGGCCTGAGGCCTGTGGGCAGCTCCTGCGTTGAGTGTCTGCCCCCTCATGGTCCGTG